AAAGAAAAGATGTATCAGAAAACACAGTGGTGGTCCAATAATATAATGGTACCAATAATATTATATGAATTTATAACAAACATTATTTTTGGAATTCTACCAGGAAACAAAAGTTAAACTAAATTCCCATCTACTTAACTGAAATATAATTATTTATTCCGTTACAGAATCGATTTAACTATTATTTTTCATTCGATCACTGTCGGAAATTCGTTAATGTCAAAGCAAAATATCGTCTTTGTTCAGAAACACAATTAAATTTTTTGTTTAGGACAAAACATCGAGTTATTTCCAACATTCGTATCACAAAGACATGAAATTATAACAATGGCTCACGATACGGTTCGTGAGATATCAGAATAAAATTATTTTGCACTCTTATTATTTTTGCTAGTTGTTATATAACGATAATTAAAAGTTAATGAATTGTGAAAAGTTTAAATTTAATTCATGTTTTAATAATATTTTTTTGGTATTTGAAATGATGGATTTATATGATAATAATGATTAGTTTTTTGGTACTTTTTTTCAAGCTTTGAGTTTTCTGTATTTTAGTAAACAATTATAAATATGTTTATTATGAAAAATGTAAAAACTGAACACATAATTTATAGATTTGATATGAACGCATAAATAAAATGTATATAACAATTTAACAGAAAATAACTCATTATTTTTTATTGGGCGCTGATGAATGGTTTTAATGTGAAGCATTCTAACCCGGATATGGGGTTTAGACTATTTTTTTCAATAACATGAATCCTCATATATTTTCTCTACATTTCATTTATGAAAATGAGCAACAAATCTTTAGGGCACAAATTCTAAATAGTCCTATTCTTTTTAAACAGTTACTCAAATAGCAATTGCATTTTGCCTCCAATCATTTCCATATGCAGCTCTTACTTTTTTGATTTGATGAACAAAGTTTTAAGCAAACTAAACTTATCTCAAGACTTGAACTCAACTCTGCCTCTAATAAATTATTCATTACATGTACGATCACTTGTTTTGTTAAACTTAAAGAATGCATTCAATTCGTGAATGTTTTTGCATAATGTGCAGACAGATATTTACAAGAATCTTTCTCATGACTGGAAATAATATCATGAATTATATAAAGATATATATCATGAATTTCGATATAGAAGTTTTGGATACAGTTCAATGTATCATTGGATTTTTTTTAAATCTTCAATATTCTACTATTCCAATTGACTCTTGAAGTAGAAGTAACACTGGCTACTTCTACTATTGTTATTTATTTATCATATGTGATTTAACTATATTGTCTTTAATAAATTATTACAAAATTGTTTCAATTTCTGTAACATAATAAGTAAGTTTGGTACTTTTGAGGTTTTCTAAAGTGGTTTTGGGTGAAGCCCTTAACGATTTGAAATCAATTGGATTTTTTTTATTTCACTATGTAATTACTAATAATATATAAATAAAAAGATGTTGCATAAAACAAATAAAACAAACTTCTTCCCAGTCTTACCAGTACCAGAATTCTTTAAAATGTAAAATTGCTTTAAATATTTAATATTATATACCTCTTCTTTCTTTCAAGTCATCATATTGTTTATAAAAAATGTAAAAATTAATTTACATTTCATTTTGTTCATATTATTACTTTCACGCATAATTCAATTAATTAATTCATCGAAATGATAGTATGTGAAATTGAATAAAATATTCCAGTTTTAATGATTTATTTGGATGCCTTTTCGCAATAAATATTTAGATTTTATTGAGTTATAATAAATCGTTTCTTTGATTATACACACACGTAGTTGTTTATAATTATAATCAATTTAAATTATTGTGCAATTACCTAAATATAAAGACTTTGTAAATGTACAAATTTAAATTATTCGAAGTTTATTAAAAGTAAAGGAATAATATATTTTTTCCTATTATTCGTGAAATTATTTGTGGTTGTTTTACCATTCGTAAATAATGTGGTTATTTTGCATAAAAGCTTCAAAATATTATTTATTAATTTATTATTTTTATTATAAAAATTATATATATTTTTTTAAATATAAAAAATTAATAAATTGTTACATAAAATTGTTTTATTTTGAGCATATGATCCATTTATATAATTTTCTGCTAGTCCATGCCTCGATAGATGATTATTTTTTAAAAATGTTTTATTAATAAAAATATATTGTGAAAAATTTATGTAAAATTAATTTAGATATAGTGGTATTAGAAAATATTAAAACTCATTATATTTATATTTTTTTACCAAAAAATATATTAATAATAAATTTAATTAAAAAATCATCTGTTACATATATTAGGGGGCGACCATTAATCACGTAATTCAATTTTGAGAGATTTTTGGACCCCCTCTCCCCTTTGGTAATACATCGTGATATTTAGGATTACCCCCCAACCAAACATCACGTGTATTTTTAGTTCCAAACGAATTTTCCGAATTTACGTAGAGTTTTTGTTTTTTTTTGGAAAATCTAGGTAAAAAATAAATACACGTGATATCTTGCTAGACCCTTCCTCCCCCACGTGATTTTTTGTCAAACCCTCCCTCTCCCTAAAAGCCTCACGTGATTACATCAATAAGAGGGGACGCCCCCTTACATCAAATTTATTAGATTTTAAATCTAAAAAAACATTATATTTTAGATCAAGTTTCACGAAAAAGAACTTGATGATAGTTCATGTTGAACAATAATTGTTCTAGTTCATATATTATTTATCAAGTACCTTACATTAAGTATGATAATATTAAGCGGTTGTAAAGTAATATTTTTTTAATGTGTTTTATTATTATCAATATTTTTATGAAATTTTGATGTATGAACATAAATCTATGGCAACTCCCTTTGAAAATAGCAGACAGTTCCACAATGGCCCCACATTGTATAGAAGACACACAAATATTATCTATATTTTATTTGATCGAGGCTTGTCATATAAAACAAAAATCATCACTAAGTTATAAATCTATATTTTTGGTATCAATAAATTTCCTGGTTCCAAATTCCATATGTAAATATATAATAATTACAAAATATTAACCCTTTCCACTTGCGAATTCCGAGATTTATATTAATTTTGCCGCCGGCGGCATCCGAGTGGAAAGGGTTAATATATGTGTATTTTTGATTTAGAACAAAACATGTGCTAAAGATCTAGTTTGCCTGCGCAAAGTTTAATGCAGTTTAATTTAACTTTGATTAAAATTAAATAACGAAAACTTTAGCTTATTTTTTACATTTCATGTCGATATCGTTCATGATGTGTTTATTTTATATTCGCATTTCTTTTCATAGCTAAAGTGAAAGTTAAGTGACACATTTATTGTTCCGTGGAAACCGCGTAATGTTCGTCTCTCGCAGACGCTCTTTTGCAATAATTGTATTAAGAAGTGGCAAAATTGCTCAAATGTAGAACATTTCAATAATTTATTGAAATTCATTTGAATATACGTAATGTAAGTTGTAATTGTCACCTGAAAGTGCAAAGTAATTCTAGGTAATAGTACTAATGAATCACCGTTTTGCAATATCTTATGTAATACAAGATATGTAAAATATGCAATTTATACATTCATTGTTAATAATTGCTTTAAAGTGAACTATTTAAGTTCTAATAATTATTAATAATTATGAATTAATTTGAATTAAAATATAAAACTACAAATAAAAAAATCAATAATAAGAATAAGAACATGGATTAAAATCATAAAAAAGAAGTTAGTAAAATTGAGATGTTGCTTATATTATTCGCTAATAGGGCGTCTAATAAATTTGATGTGCTGATAATTTAAGTTTAAATAATAAAACATTTTTATACTAATTATTGACTTTTAAGATTTTTTGCAACTATTGTAGACAATTAAAATTTTAATTTTGAGGCTTATATATACAGGTTCAAACATACATATAAACAAATTTTGTCATGAAATTGACAGCTCATAAAAATTATATAAATGCAATTCAAGGTATTCTAAATTATTCTGGCGCATTTAATATTTTGGAGTTATAATAAATTAGCAGAATGCCTAACGGGCTCTTCGAAAGACCAAGTTGGTAACAATATTTTAGCATTTGGTTTTTGGATTTTTTAAATTTGAATATTTTATGAAATAATTACAAGCATATGTAATTACTGTAATACAAATGAATAGTAATAATTAGTAAAGCACAGTCATAAAGTCTAATCTTTAAGAGTATTTTTTTAATAACTAATTTCATTATCTTAATTAGGATTTTCCATTAAGTAAAAAAAGATAATTAAAATAATAATAGGAACAATAATTAGCGTAATACTAAAGTTACAAAAAAAGTGTATTAAAAATACAACGATTTTAAAATAATAATGAGTTGCTGCTCAATATAATAAAAACCTAATTAAAATATATAAGTAATTACATTTTTTTAATTTAAAAAATCCAGGAATTATATTCTGCCTACTGTTCTGACGAGATTTGTAACCAGAAAATAAATAAAAATGCTATATTAATGTTTATGTTTATAAAGAGTTGCACTTTAGTAAACTTTAATAAGCAGAGTCGATAACTTTTTTTGTCAGTCAAAACTTTATTCAAGTTTTATAATAGATTCCATAACTCATAATTTTTGTTTAATCGTGATACAAATATCAATAAACATAATCTTGGAAGAAAACATGATCTTGTTTACAAAGAATAATTCCCCTGGTCAGTATTCCCAAATAGTACTTGGTGGTTGTAAATTGCTTTAAGTAGAAATGCTTTAAGTCGTCCACTCAATTATTCATTTTTTATTTTATTTATTCATAAATAAATAATGATATTTGAATTGATAATAATATGATCATGGGAATAAAAAACAGGGGAGGGAAAGGGTATCATTTATTTTGTGGTGCTCTCATACCAAGAACCTGTCTTCTGAACAACTATTTATCATAATTACTATTACACATTGTAATATAATTTTACTTCCTATACTTTTATTACCCTTATCTAATTATTTTTATTTTTCCAGTGAAATGGCTCAGTTCTTTTCTGCTGATCGCATCCTTGGCATTAGCACAAGTGACCCCCAAGGACCCCGCCTGCATAGAAGGCTTCGATGGCAACATCCACGCCCTGGACGCGGCTGAATTGGACTTCTCTTTACGAATGTTAGCTGCTGCAGTTCGATCTGCACCTGGTCAAAGTGTATTTTTTTCACCTTACAGCATTTATCAAGCTTTGCTCTTAGCGTATTTCTCTAGTGCTAACCATACCGAAGCTAACTTGAAGGTAATATAATAAATAATTAATATAATGTTAAATATTTTATTTAAAAAAATTGCTTTTAGATAAATATAGTTCTGAATTCCCCTTCTGAACTGTCTTTATAGATTTTATTTTTTAGATATACTAAAGTAAATGTTAATAGAATAATTCATATAAATATTGTACCTACGGCAACTAACTTTAATTCTATCTTTTTAAGTATGTATTCTCTTTGAAACCCTTGATTGAATATTAAATTATTCTGAATACTCTGTTTCACATATGAACTAATTACAATATTTTAATTATTATAATCTTTTTTGCAGAAAACATTAGCTATCGAGGAACATGTGCCAAAACTACAAGTTCTGCATGGATATAACTTTGTGAGAAAAATGCTTGGATATAGAACGAATCAATCATATGAATTCAATTCTGCTGATCGTCTTTTTGTAGCTCAAGATGTACCAATTAGGTAAGAAATAAATAGTTTACTAATTTTCATTTTTAAAGCTATTTAAGGGTTAATACAATGATGTGAAATACTTAACATTGTATTTCCTGGAACACCTCCAATATTTGCTTGATTATTGAAAACATTGAAATATTGATTTTTAAGATTATAAATTATTTAATTAAATTTTGCTTGGAATGTAGAAAAATTTTATTGATAATGTTAGCTCAAATATATACACAGTAATTAATATGACAAGATTTTATTTATATGGAATGAATTTAGATTTTATTAATAAATTAAAATTAATTCTATTAAAGGGATTGTATTCAAGCTGTCATGAGAGATCAAATTCAACATTTGGATTTCAAGAGCAATCCTGAAGCAGCCAGACAAATTGTTAATGGATGGGTAGCAAGTGAAACCAGAGACCACATCAAAGACTTAATTCCTCCAAGTGGAATTACTGCTGCTACTGATTTAGTACTTGCCAATGCTGCTTACTTTAAGGTAATTACTTTTAATTTTTGTTTTATAACAAATGGTGTCATTTATATTAATAATTGTTAAATTCGTTACAGGGTAAATGGCAAGCTCAATTCGATCCTGCATTTACTAAAAAGGACATTTTTTACACTTCTCCATCCAAACATACTATGGTTGACATGATGAGACAAGAAGGACATTTCCAACATTGTATGGTTCTGAGATAGCACTGTTAGACCAATATATGATTAGATTTATTTATTATTTATTTTTTTCTTACAGTTCAATCAGAGAACTTGGGAGTTCACGTACTTGAAATGCCATATTTAGGTGGTGATATTTCTATGTTAATTCTGTTACCACCATTTACAAACACCAGACTAGAAGACACTTTAGATCGCTTGACACCAGCCGAACTTGCTACTTTATTGGCTGAAGATGCGCCACAGAGATTAGTTCATGTAGAGATACCCAAATTCTCAATTGAGAAGCAAATTGAATTGAAACCGGTAAGCAAATAAAAATTGAAATACAGTGGTACCCCGAAATAGAAGTTAAAATCCGTCCGTAACCAAGCTCGTACGTCGAATCGCACGTGTCTCGAAGCCATCTTTTCCATACCCATGGTTATAAAAGTATATCACATTTTGTCAATGCACAAAAAGCAAAAAAATCGAACTCAACATGTATAACTGTACAATCACTCTTAATATGTAGTTACAATTTCAAATGTTAAAATAATCCTCATTAATTCAGAGGGTAATTAGTTTAGAAATTGATATATAATTGAAATGACTAACTATAAAATAATTCACTGACATACAGCTGACAATATATTTCTATAATAAAAAAAAAACATTGTTACAATTGATGAAATTTTTCATATTTTTATTTTGCACTCACAAACTCGCTCAAGGCTCGTATCTCAAATTTTGATTGTATATCAAAGCTGTATTTCATTAAATGAATATAGTTTTTGCATAATAATGGTAGTAAACAAATAATCACATTTGTTATTTACATATAGGTATTGCAACAACTCGGAGTAGGTGATTTATTCGATGCTACTGCAGATTTATCAGGATTAGCCCCACAAGGCCACGTACATTTAGATGATGCAGTACACAAAGCCAAAATTGAAGTCGATGAGCAAGGTAAGAGTGGTTGCATGAGATGAAGGAATAATACTTTAACCATTTCCAATACTGACACAATAATATAGAAGTAGATGTATAACGTCTATCCAGGATTGGAAAGTCCTAATTTGATCGAAAAAACAATTTTATATTTATATTTTAAATCTTTATTATTTTTAATATTGTATTATCTCAGTATCTTATATATTTATTACATATCTTTAATTTGCAATAACGTTTTTCTTTTGGTCTAGGATCAGTTGCGGCTGCTGCTACAGCTCTTTTCAGCTTCAGATCTTCGAGGCCTCTAGAACCTGCCCAATTCGTCTGCAATCATCCATTTGTTTACTTGCTTTATGATCGCAAACTCAAATCCATATTATTCATGGGACTTTACCGTGGTCCAAATGTATAATTTAGAAGTAAATTCCAAAACCAAAAATTGAGATGAGGATTATTTAAAGTTTATGATGATTTAGTTGTACCTGAAGATAAAACAAATGCATATTTGGTACGAATATGTTTTTGTTTGAAAATGTAGATATTTATTATTAACAAAAATAGTAGGACTTTCATATATCATATAACTTTTATGTTTTTAATGCAAAAGTGACATTTTAGAAAGAGATTTAACAAACAAAAGTGGTTAACATGAACTACATACGATTATCTTTTACTATTTATATACTTTAGTAATCCATACTCATTTTTCTTAGGCGTATGTGAGTAATAGTTGTTTTTATTGTTTTGACATTATGATTAACGTAATAAGTATGTCAATGTATTTTTAAGAAAATTTGGAAGTGTGATCTGAATTGTTTTATATAATAATTAAAAGTATATTTGTTTTTATTGCGTATTTTAATTTCAAGATTTCTATCTTACAGTATAATAAAGAAGTTACTAAAATTAATATCGAATAATACGATTGATATGTCTGAAATAATTTAATAATTTTATTAGTTAGGGGCCGTTCAAGTATTTAATAATTCAAGTTCAAGTAATTACGTAAGCACTATAGGGGGGCGGGGGGTTATTGATTTGCTTATTTAGCTTATTTTGGGTTAGAAATTTGGTTACTTTTGATGATAAAGGGGAGGGGGGGGGGTAAATAATTGTAATAAATTTGCTTACGTAATATTTGAACGATTCCTTATGTTAAAATACAGTGCATATACTGAACTAGTATATCATATCATATTCAAGTCGAATATATCTGTTCGAAAATGCAATTAAATAAGAAGATTGGTCTTGTATGTTTTTGCTGGATGCATTTAATAATATGAATCATTAATCGATGTCGAGATATTGAAGGTAAACTAATCAATGTTTTACAGTATGCCTTAAAAAAGTCAGAAATATAATTCATAAATCATTGCTAGTGGTTGTTATATATAAAAAATGAGCTAGTGGTGCATGCGTGCATAGCACTATTCCTTAAGGTAAATAGCTGAGACTTCTCATGCTGTAATTAAACATTCGAGAAATAACAATAATGAATAAAACATATTTTTTAAATGTCACCCATGAGTAACGATTATTAACACTAGGCTTACTAGATATTATATATACAATTATAATTTTGTAAAACTTTCTTAATTCTGAAATACATATGTGGTATACCACTCTTTACGGATTTCTGTCACATTGACTGATTACCCAAACAATAATGATATATTTATATAAAAAATTGCGGTTGATTATGCATAGGTTCTGTTTCTATATAATTAGCAAATAAAAATAAATATATTTGACATTAATATTAATTTACTTACCCAAATGCACTTCAACTTGGATTCAAATTTATATCTTCTCAGCGTTTTTGTCAGGATCAAGGATTTTTTTTTTTTTTTTTTATTTTATTTTATTCGATAATATATACTACATATTTTGCACTTAAAATGTGAATGTGTTAATTTAAAAAAGTGTACCAAATTATTGTAGTTTAGATTGTATTTATAATTAATTTTGCTTGTAAAGATTCATGTTTGATTCCTATAAGAAACCAGTTTGTTCTATTTAGTATTGAATCCTTGCGATTCAGTAATTTGTGCAAAATTGCAAATGTACGAATGCAGTAGAATCTCGATTAGTCGGACTAATTGTTGTCAATAGGCATTCGGATAATCGAAAATCCGGATAATCGATTGTATGAAGAATATTGTTGTGTACAGCAGAACTCTAATTATCCGATTTAATGGGGACCGGGACCCATTCGGATAATCAAATATTTGGATAATCGGAGTTTTTTTTTAAATTGCCATTGGAGAGAAAAAAGTTATGTTTTGATATTGCACTATTTTGTTTATTGAATTAAATGAAAGAAACATGACATTTTCACATGTTTTAAATATAAATAAAATGTACTTATGTACAAGTTTAGAAATAAAAATCATTGTTTTGTAAACATCTCCGTCAAATCAAAACAAACAATGTGCCTACAATGGCTTTGCTGGTGGAAGAATAATAGCTCACTTAGACTTTTTTTGGACAATTTTTTTTCTGAAAGTGATTCGGATAATCGGCGATTCGGATAGTCGGAGTTCGGATAATTGGAGTTCTACTGTATTTATTAAAAATAACAAATACATACATAGATACCAACAAAATAATGTTAATTAGGAATCTGAAACTTTTTTATGTATGTGCATATATATATTCTTATTAGATTCTTATTAGATTAGATTACATCTTATTAGATTCTTATTAGATTACATTACATATACTAAACTGCAGCATTAATCTTGTAAAAATTCAAATTGTAGGTATGTACATACATGAACATTGGTTGCAATTGGTAGTCCGGATAATCGCGATCCGTATAAATGAGGTCCGGATAAACGAAATTCTACTTTCTACTGTATCACGAATTATTTCAAATGTTAAAATTCATTCAAATTCATTGATGTGAAGTACGTTCGATATAAAGGTTCGATTACCATCGATGCAACATCAATAAAAAATCGAATTGTAGCTAACTTCACGTGTCTTCTTCGCGTGCTGCTGCACGCCGTCGTAGCTTGCAGTTTGGTTTCGCCTTCCTTTGGGGGTAGTTGAGTGCATTGATAAGAAAAAGAGTATATATATATACTGTTGAGTGCGTAGATAAAAAAGAGTTTATATATATGGCTTTAGTGCGTTGAGTGTTTTTTTGTGAGCAGTAAATCGATGAATTGGAAGTTATGCATGAGGTATGTAAAGAAATATTGATTTAACTTAGTATTTGATATATAAAATAACATCAGACGCTATTCAATGCCGTATTAGTTTAGCAGATACGCGTCATGCAAACAAGCACGGGTGGTCAAGTACTCTTCTGCCACGTGATTATATAATATTATATAAAATATATAATTATATATATATAAAATATAGATTATATAATTATAATATAAAAATAATTGAAAGTTTAATTTATTTGAGCAAGGTTGAATTAAAATTGATCAATGTCTTACATCCTAGTATAACACAGGAATGTTAAGTAAGCCGGTGTAGGGGGTATGGGAATCTTAGGTAGAAGTGGGTAGGTATGATGTGATATATGATATTGAACAATTAAAATTAATTTAGTATCTACATTTTTTCTGAAGTATATATCATATATGAATATATATGGAATATTTCTATATGAGTCCATGACGATAAAAGTATATAATCTCCAAGTTGTGCAATACAGGATGTAAGTCGATCGACAGTTTGGCGGGAATCGGTGGTATCGTGTCCTAAGACAAATACGCACACATGTACACACACACACACACACATATACATCAATTTTTTTAAGTTATGCCAAAATGTTCAAAAACCTTTGAAACGTGAAAATATATAACAATTTTCATTTTCAATTTTTTATGATTATTATAACTTATTACCCTACGGGATGTTAATAAGTCATTTTAATTGAATCAATTTTGTTTTAGAATTACCGACAATGAGAAGGTACAAAAAATATAATGCTTGTATTTCCATTTTTAAGCCCTGTGTAAAATTCCATACATTTTTTCCACAATCATCTTTAGTAAAAAATATAGCCTATTTCAAATCGAGTCTTACTTGCCTCATTTGCCATGCCAGGCGGCAAGAATTTTGGATTTTGTAATTTTTTCATAATTACTTTTAGTAAAAAGTTGGATTTTGAAAATTAATTTTAGTAAAGTTTAGTAAAAAGTTGGATTTCATAATAACCTTTAGTAAAGTCGAATTTTGTAATTTTTTAATTACCTTCAGTAAAATATTTAGCTTTTGCCTATTTCAAATCGAGTCTCATTTGTCTTACTTGTCCATATGGCCAGAATGTTGGATTTTGTATTTTTTTTTCCTAATTTGCATAAATTTGAAAATGCAAGGTCGAAATGATTAAAATGAGAGGTTTTTTAACCTATCTTTGGATTTTTGGAGTCGTAAATTTTCTATTTTGTAACGTTTGGTTTTATGAAACTATACTTGTCGTATATATCGTTTTCAGATATTTAATAGTAAAGTAATAGCAAAGATTCATTATCAGCCTATTAGTTTGCGACAATCCGGGTATAACTATTATTATTTTAGATTTAAATATAATAACTAGTTATATATAATTATAGTACTATAATTAATAATTTTCACGAATCGATGATTTCACATTAATCACATTTGAATCACTGTTGATCTAAAAATATATCACTTAATTAGGTTTATCCAAAAATAAAATTTTACTATTTTTATAATACGTTGCCGCACGACCTAAAGTTTAGTTTATATTAAATAAAATATTATTGTTGTTTTATTTATAATTTGTATTATATACGTTTCATTCATACAATTGCAAATGTTGATTCAAGAGTTCCATTGTATGTAACTTTGTTTCTACAATATTTTCTCGAATCAGAAGTTTTCGCCCAGAAATTCCAAACTGCTAACTTCACATTTTCTGAACGTTTCAAGTAATTCTAAATCATTTGACATCAAAACGTAAAAAAGTGTGAATGTGTTTGTAAGCCGATATTTCGTCTAAGTTTTCAAAAATTTAAAAGCTATTTGATCATTAATCATATATCCTATACAATATTCAATTTAATACTATCTTCTTTTTCATATAATATAATTCTATCTATAATTTCATATAATTCTATTCTTTCTATACTTCTTAACTTATCTTCATTCTTCTTTCTTCTTCTTTAGTATCTTCTCATTTCTTCTTCTAAACACTTCTTACTTCTTCTACTATACTTCTCATTTCATCTTATAAACTTTTTACTTCAATTTATTTTAATTCTCATTCTATAATTTTTATACCTTCTGATTATTTTACATACATATTTTTTATTACAATTCATAATAAGGATTATGAAGGACTCACGATGATCAGTTTTGTGCTGAACTGTTTCTTTGTAATTAGCATTTTTGCCAATCAAAATATACATTATTTTTTAATGCAATGTACTGATATTTATGCCTTTAAAGTTTTCTCCAATGAGATATATCTTATAATTAGTATATACGAGTAAATGTAAAATTTGTTAACGTTTTCGCCAGAAATTCTAAATTGTTTTTGATCTTTCAAAAACTGTTTGAAAGATATCAGTTGGGAATCTTTTAAACAGTTTTTGGAATTTCAAAATCGGTTTAGAATTTTTGGCAATGTTCCTGCTGCTTTAGTCTGTGGAGATCGGTCAGGCCGTTTCTTCGTAATCGTAGATTTTTTTGGAATCGAGGATTTAATTCAACTTGCCATTATCTT